TGAGACTCGTCTTGAGTTGGAGTTGCCTGAGGAGCACCCTGGGCGAGGTGCGGCGGCACCGGCGGCGGCACGCTGGCCGCCTCTCCGTCGTCGTTGGGGCGAACAGCGAGGAGCGGGGCGGCCCACGCTGTGGCTCGCCGGCGGCGGCGCCACTGCACAGCCGCGACGAGCAGCCACAGCAGCGTGGGCGGAGCCGAGGCGAGGGTCGAGTAGATGAGGAGAGGGCGGAAGTTGCCCATCGAGAGCGCGAGGCGGACGAGCGGCGCCTAACCCAATCGCACGAGTGGAGTGACTCATTAGGAGTAGGTAGCATGTAGGCGCACGCCAACCAAAGGTCGGACTCTGGGCTGCTTAGAGTTCGTTGCACACTCTAGTCGGGCGGGATCCGCGAGCAGGCGGCCGCGCCTGGCAAAGGTTGACGAGCGACGAGACGAACATGCACAGGCCCATGATGCGCCCCATCGAGCTGGGGCCGAAGGTGGCGCCGTTGAAGGCCGCGAGGGTGGAGAAGAGGAATGCGCGGAAGGCGGCGAAGACGACCGCGCCGCCGACCTGCGCCGCCTGCGAAGGGAGGAGCTGGAGGCACGAGAAGAGGACGCCCAGCGCCGACGTGACGAGGAAGGTGCCGATGAGGCCGGTGAGGTGGATCGAGGCCTCGATGAAGGGCACAGCGATGAAGCCAAACGGCACAATCAGCCCGACGAGCGAGGTTGTCGACTCCAGCGCGCCCTCTGGCCAGCCGTTGCTGCTGGCGTACTCGCGGTTGGTCAGGTCGACCGAGCCGAGGTAGAGGTTCGAGCGCGTCACCTGCACACCGAGACATTGACCTTAGGTTAATATTAGCTGAAGTCATGGGCAAAAGAGTGATGGATTGCAATTGATCCAAGGCACAGCCGAGGCAGCGGTCACCTGCACCGTCGCAAAGAGGCACACCGTCGCAAACTCGAGGCTGCGCACCTGCTGCAGCAATGGCTTCGCCGCGAGCTCTGTGGGCGTGCTCTCGGGTGCAGACGCCTCGCCCGCGTCGGCCAGCGCCGTGTCCAGCGTCGCCGCGTCGTCCCCACGCCCACCCTGAGAGGCCTGGAGCTGCTTTGCGTTGAGCACCCACGCGAGGAGCAAGAGGGAGTAGACCGCGGCGGCGAGGCCGACAAAGCCCCACCAGAGCATGTTGAAGGGGACGCCAGCTTCATAAGCGAGCTTGAAGAAGGTGAAGATTATGCAGCTGCCGTCAAAGAGGCATGCGGTGAGCTCGACGACCACGTTCATGCGCCGCTTGAAGAGGAAGGGGGTCGAGTACGCGTTAAACATGGTGAGCGAGCCGCCGATCGCGATCAAAACCACCGACACGAGGAACAGGTCGAAGCCGGTGGCGCGCCAGACTGGCTCACACAGGGCGATGCCGATGAGACCTGAGATCTCGATAATTCCAGCGACCAGCGTCCCGACCGCGGGGCCAAAGCTGTCAACCAGCATGCCAGCAGGCACGGCCACGAAAGACACCGCGGTGGAACCGATCGTGAACGCCAGATTGAGCGCATTCGCCTGCGCCTCGCACGGCGGTGGCTGCGCTGAATCGGTACAGAGCGACGCGTAGAAGCCCTCCTCAATGAGGATCGCGTTGAACGGGGCCCAGCCGAAGACAATGCCGGAGAAGAGGAACACGGAGGCGAGGTCGAGGACGAGGAGAAGCCCGAGCAGAGGCCCCATTCGACAGAGCTGCCTCGTGCAAGGTTGGCTGTGGTAGGGGTACGGCTTCTCTCGAGGTCTCTCTCTCGAGGTTCTCGAGGTGGATATCCTTTGGCCGCGTTGGGTAGCGAGGATTGGTGTAACCCGAGCCACGTGTTTTCTGGCGGCCGACCGTCAGTGCACGGAGTTGCCACTTCTCCGACTGCCCCGGCTAGTTCCCGAGGTCGTCGGGTGTGACCCCTTCGCCGCCCCGAAACTATCGCGGGTGGTTTGGAGGGGCTCGCCCCGC